TTTTTTTTTCTTTAGTTGTAATTTTAATGATTAGTGGATGACTTGAGCACTCAAAAAGCCAAAATTAAGATATCTTGATTCCTCAGTTCATTGGGTATAGTTTTCCATTGCAAAAGGATTTCTTTTCTATTTTTTAGGTTTTGAAACATTTGGTCGTCTTCTAATTCTTATCCGCTTCCCATTTTACTGCCTGTATCTATTCGAATTGTGTATTAGAATTTTGTAGGAGGTGGAAGCAAGCACAAGCGGAAAAAGATGCACGGCGAAGGCAACGTGCAAAAAATAAAGAGTCGGTTCATAAATGGTCCAAGCCCAGCAGTAGCGCAGTCATTGATAGTGACGATGAAAAAGAGTTGCAGCAAGTGAAAGAAGAAGTCGTGAGTTACTCTACCAGCGTTAAGAACTTTTGCATATCTACTTTATTAATCCATCTTTTTCTATCAGATATCCTTGAACTTCATCCGGTTAGCTAAAGTTGCTGGCCCGAAAGACTCGTAACAAAAGACTTATTTTTCTCTTCATGGAGAGTAATATATTTTACAGGCCGAATATTCGGATGATGATTCAGAAGAAGACGGTGAAAAGAAAGAGTATGAGAATGTCCTTGGTAAAGAAGCTGATGTTACTAAAGGGGTTGGAGCGATGTTAAAGCTAGCTGCTCAAAAGGTGTGCATTTCTTCATGTCAAGTCTTTATTTTGATAATATAGTGCACGCCCGGTCGTGTACGGGAGATAAAAGATTTCTGCGGACGTGTTGACAGAATTGGTTTCAACATCATTTTGCTATACAAGCTTAAGCAATTGTGCAAACTGCGGACAGAGCTAAGCTTCGACGTTATTGTTCGCTTTATTTCCGAACGATCAGAAATTATGCTAAGGAGTCTTAATCGGCTCTTGAGATTAGCTGGCACTAGAAACTCACTTATTGCAACTCAAATGTACAGTGCTATGTCTGATTAACGCATTCACAGCAGCATGCGATGTTTAGCTGTCCGCGCCGCACTCAGCCGTGACTGTATTGATACTATATTTGAATCGAAGTACTGTCAGGTGGGACCCTGTGGACGCCCGGTCGTGCACCAGGCTATTTTGTGTAAAAATCACTCTGTCGTATATGAGTTAATTTTCTTCTATCGCATCGCTTTCCTTGAATGATAATAACATCAAAACAATAATTTCTTGCAGGGTTATCTCAATGATAACGACGTTAAGAAGAAAACTACTCAAAGTTTGGATCATCTTCGCAACCAGTCAAAGACTCAAGTGGAGCAAAGTAAATAGTAAGTGGCATTCAAAGCCTATGATTGGAATTGATTCAGAATTTTGTCTATATCTAATATGCGAGTCGCGAAAAAAGTGATTCTGTAGTAGGCGAAGCTGTAATTAGCTTGAATACTATACAATAATCTCTCACCGGTTCTATGCTGATACATAATTTTCGAAAATATAGCTTATTTTCTTTCTGGTATTATTGTTGCTTATTTTGGACTCACGCTTTCAGCTCAGATAGCAACACATTGTTGATAAAGTTATTGCAATGCGAGGCAACGTGTTGTAATCGTTCCTTGTACCACATTTCGTGAGATCTTGATTAATTAAAAAGGAATTCCGTTGTGAGCGAATCGCAAATTGGCCGAGTATTTATGCTTCAGTTGGCTTGATTTTTTCCGGAATTTTATTTTAGATTTGAGATGATAATTGTATGGGAGTGCTAAGATAATCAAAGCAATCCTTTCCTTCTCATTGAAAGAAGCAAGTATTAAATTTTGCCGCTGAGCAATTTGTGGCTATGCAATTTCTTCTCTTTTTTGTTCTCCCACTGCACATCTGAACGGGATACTTAAGCATTATCGATTATGTGCAGTAAATCTCAGAATTTACCTAGTGGGTATAAAAGCATTCTTTTTCTTCAGAAACTATCTCTGCGATATTTGCGCTGTGACTATGATCTCTGCAAGGATAACGTCAGATAACAATGCTTTTTAAAAGGGACCAACTAGCGTTCGAAATGTGTGTAGTCGGTTCCAACCCTTCGTCCGTCTAAGTCAAAACGGCTACGAGTACAAGCCGTATACTGAAGCCGCACTTAATGGTTGAAGCTGCTCCGCTTGATCTGTCCAGTCAAAGCTGTCTGGTTTCAGTTATTGCATATGGGCGTAGTGCGAAATAATAAAGTGCGACGAATACTAAAGTTTTTGACTGCATTTTCTTCTTAATAATATTAGGGAATTTCGTCAAAGGGTGTGTCAGAAAATCCTTGGTCAACACTGCATAAACATGGAGTCATACGAACTAACGATTATCATTTTCCGTAGATACTTTTGACAACAGTGAAGTGTATGAAATTAGTTTTAGGCATCGGAAGCAAGTAAAATATGAAATGGTGACTTTCACTTTTGCTACCATTATGGCATATCTCGATCTCGAATATAATACAAAGCATACACCATCTTTGTTTCCTAGTTGCTTAATTATGTGGGTCCCGGCTCAGGTGATGATTGTGTATCTTTTCAATGTATGTATAGGATCTAAAAATATGGAGTTATTGGAAGAACTCGTTTTGTGCATATGAAAATGCATTTCGAGGATTTTTGAATTGAACTAGTCCTAGTACTCGGGGCAAATATTGTTGAGCCCTCCTTTGAGACAATTTTTTCAAAAGGACAAGCTTAGTACTTCAGATTTCTAGAGCCTTTTTAGGTTGAAAAAGAACTCACCCAACAACTCAATATTTGCTTTGACTTATGTCATGTATGTACGGTTATTTTCAATGAATAATAAATCGTCGTTATTTTGTACTCTACTATACAATTCAGCGATATCGAGGACAAATATGCTAAGAAGCTCGATCGCCTCGGTACTACCGGCCGAGGTCCAATTCTTCCATTTTCCGAAAAAAAGGACTATCATCCAGAAGTAATTTCAATATTTAAACTGATGGTTACATTCATAGTAAACTGTTTTAAGGTGAACATACAATATGTTGATGACAAAGGACGAGTAATGGACCAGAAGGATGCCTATCGAGAACTATCTTACAAGTATGTATCTATTTTGCTGTGATTTTCATATTTGTTTCTTTGTTTAGATTTCATGGCCGTAATCCAGGAAAAAAGCAGACTGAAAAGAGGATATCAAGACGAGACAAGAAGGAATTGTTGAAACAGGTGAGGTGTAGCCTTTGTCTGATCTTTGTGTAATGATATGGAATTGTTCTGTTCAGATGAACAGTTCCGACACTCCTCTTGGTACCTTATCTAAACAGCTCAAGAAGCAGGAACAATTACAAACACCATACCTCGTGCTCAGTGGATCTGGACGAAGTGACCAGTAAGTCATTTCATATTTCAACAGTCAAGCAAAATGTTAATCAATGGATCTCTACAATATCTGATTTTGAACGAGCATCGCGAAACTGCTTATACTTTGAGTAGAAGTTCAAGACAGCCGCTCAGGCGAATGAGTTATGATTTTTTCTCAATTTATTGGGCGATTCACCAATCAACCTGAGCGCTTGATTGAAACATTTCTGCAAATAGCAAGGTACGCTCCAGCATGAGTGACCGTGATATGCAT